CAATAGCCCAAAAGACCCCAAACTCTTGTAATACTGCCACAGTGGTAGGGGTGGGGAAAGCCTGGACCTTGTCTATAATTGCTTCAGGAACAACTCTAGTTTTACCTGACCAGACAACCCCCAAGAATTTCACAGACAAACCAGGTCCCTGAACCTTGGTGCTGTTTACAGTCCATCCTTTTTTCCTATAGATGTTGCAACAGTCTAGGAACTGCCCCTTCTAAATCAGAAAGAGAATCAGATATGAGCATAATATCATCAATGTAGTGATACAACCACGCTGTTTGCAGTTTCCTCCATGTGGCCAAGTCCTGGGCTACAAGTCCATAAGAGATGGTGGGCTGTGGAGGTATCCCTCTGGAAGGACAGTGAATGTCCACTGCCGGCCTTCCCATGTGAAGGCAAACTGTTGCTGGCTTTCCTGTGCTATGTCAATAGACAAAAAGGCATTAGCAAGGTCTACTACATAATGATAAGTTCCCAATCCATGGCTGAGGGTGTCCGGAATGTCTGCTATAGAGGGGACAGCAGCATGCAAAGGGTTTGTGACTTTATTCAATTCCCTGTAATCTACTGTCATATGCCAGGAGCCATCTGGCTTTCTCACTGGCCACCCTGGGGAATTACCTATGAGTGGGCTTTATGATACCCACCCTCTCCAACTCCTGTAGAGTTTCTCCAATTTCCTTGTGCCCCCCGAGGCAATTTATACTGTTTAATATTTGTCACCCACTGAGGTACAGGCAGAGCTACAGATGGGTGCTTAGCATGTCCCCTCAGAACTGCCTTTACCACATATACCCTCAGTCTGAACTCACCTGCAGTGGTCTGTAACCACAGGCCCTGCAGGATAACTACTTCCAAAATATATTCAGGAATGGGAGAAATGTACACAGCATACTCCTTTGGAGGTAAATGCCCTATCCCCAATGAGATCTGGGCTTTCTTCACTCTAATTGCCCTACCCTCATAGCCATCTATCACAGCAGGGGTCCCGGAAAAATGCTCAGGATTGCCATGAATCAAAGAACACTCAGCTCCTGTGTCCACCAGCACCAGGACATGTTGTGCATTCACAGGGGACCAATGAATTGCTAATTCTACATGTGGCCTCTGGTCCCCACTGTGTCCCCCAAGGTGGGGACTTTGACACCCCCCCTCAGTTGAACCATGGTGCCCAATCATCCTCCTGTGGGGGTAAGGGCTCAGGTGAATCCTGAGTACTATCTCCCATGAAGTTTTGCAGGGACACAGGCTGGGCATGAGGCCTTGACTCTGGTTTTTGTGTCCTGGACCTCAACGGCTGGAACTGCTGCTCTGGCTTTAATTGATGCCACAGTTCTAACAATATTCTATTGGGCTGCCCATTGAGTTTTTCTTTCACTACCCTGGACTTTATCAAATCAACCCACATCTGGGTCCTGGAGACCTTCACGGGGCCTTTTGCACTTCTACTTTCAGTCATGGCCCATACTTCCCTCCATACCCTTATTGTTTCAACCTCCCCCAGATATGCTAAAGTGTGAGTAGCCTCACTTATGGGTTGCCCTAGGTGGGAGGCAAGAGTATTCTCTAGGGACCCCAAAGAGAGATGTGGGAGCTGTATGCAGTACCAGGTTTCTCATTCCTATAGTGAACACCTCCTCATCAGGGCTCTGGGCGTCCATATTATAGATGATGTTTTTCATACCCATTTCCCACAGTATCTGTTGGAGCTCTGCATATGTTTTCCAACTACTGGGAAAATATGGTAAATCACCCTGATTAGGCCAAACTATCCTGATGGCAGCTGTCAGCCATTCCAGGAGCGTCTGATTCCCTGAGGCATGATGGGCATTTTGCAACCACTGCTGGAGGGAAGGGTGAATCATCAAAGAAGCCATTCTACTCATCTCAGTATCCAACACAATGCTTTACACCCTCATATCCCAGAGACATAAAAGCCATGTAGGCAGAGATTCTAATGGCCTCTGCCTATACTGGACGCTCATGTCCACCAGCTCATCCTGGGTATATGGGCGGAGCATGGAGTGCTCCACAACCTGGGGAGGGGGCTGCTCCTCCCTCTGAGGAGCCCATGGTTGTTTCATTTTTATTTTCTTGATTACAGCTGGGTGGTCCATTAAAACAGAAGATGGTACCTCCTGTGGTGGCCTGGGTAGAAGATCCGCCGATGACCCCGCCTCCTCCTCTTCTTCCTCAGGCTTCTCCACCAATGGCTCTTCCTCCACCATTTCTGGGGCTGAAGGCACTACTCTTTCCTCCCCTTCCCCCACAGCCTCCTGCAACGTGGCTTTTCCTACCATCTCCCCCCTCGCTGCTGCTAAGGAATTTTCTAGGAGTGTGACCTGCCTTTTCAGTAACTGTCTCTCTTCTTTAACAGCATCCCATAGGTTATTGCCCAGCTCCTCCAGCGATGCTGAAGCCTCTCTCTCACCTAAGACCCTCAATAATCCTCTCTTTCTCCTGTATAACATTTTCCACTATCTGGATGAAAAGAGACCCTACAATGCCAGCCATTACACAGCCCCCTAAGGTCTCCAAGCAGTCTTCCAACTCATGGAGGGCTAATTCTGCAGTTTCCAGTGTTTCCACCTTTCCCCAGTTCTGGGGAAGGCTCCACCCCTCTAGGAGGTGCTTTACCCTAGGCCAATTCCCCTCTAGGGGTTCCCAACTTGGAAGCTCCATAGCTGGGGAGATAATAACAGGTGAAGCAGTATGCTCTGCCACTGCATCCACTGGGGCCTCCCCACCATCCACAGGAGCAGCCCTCCCAAAGGTCACATCCATTGTGACAGATTTTGGGTTCAGAGGAGTCCTGCCAACTATGCCAGATATAAGTCCGGGAAAAATACCTGGGGCAAAATACCTCTAAAAATCAAAACCAGTCAAAGGGACAAATAAAGTTTGAAACCCATTTATTACTTACAAACTGCAGTCCAGGGCCATCTCTCTCCTCCACTCCTGAAGAAGCAAGCAAGCAAGCAAGCAAGCCCGTCCCTTTAAACTCTCAGGTTCAGATATGCCCTTGGTTGCCCAGGAATTACCCACTGACACGGAGATGAACTTCTCTCCACCCCTGAGGATATGCAAATGCACTAAAGCCAGGTGAGATACTCTGGAAATGTTACAATTTTACCCACAGGGACTATCACAGTTATGCTGCCCTTGATACACTGAGTTATATAATGGGGTGTGAGTAATCATTGTGCCATGAATATCTCTTGAGGGGAAAAGGTTTTATGTTTGTGGGGGAGGAAGTGGCAAATATGAGGGAAACAACATTGTAACTTCCCACTATACCAGTGGTCCTCAACCCTAACTATACACTATAATCATCTGAAGAGCTTTTAAAATATCCTAAATGCAATGTTGTATACTAGATTGGATCTTGAGGCAGAGAAAAGAGCATTAGTAGAAAAATTATTGAAATCCAAATAAGATCTGTAGATTAGTTTGAGAATGGAACCATCTTAATATGATTTTATAAATGGACCATGGTTACATAACATGCTACCGTTAAGGTATATTGGTTGAGGGGTATACAGGAAGTTCTGTACTATCATTACAACTTATAATCCTAAAATTATTCCTAAAAAACAGTATTTAAAGCAAAAACAAAAGAATAAATATATCTATGCCTGGATGCCACTGTAGACGATAAATCAAAATCCTTGGGGAGGTGTCCGGGAATCTGTAATTTTGAAATCTTCCCCAGCGATTCTAATATATCATGAGGTTGAGAACCATTGTTTTACACTGGGAATGCTTGAGAGTCTGGGATCCTGTTTTGTTCTTTGCTGTAGCCTAGAACCTAGCACAATGCCTATATGAACAGCTTTTGCAATTGTGCCCTTGCTGAACTGCACCTTTGTTTGCAAATATCTCCTTTACTTTGCATCCTCTGTAATAATAAAAGTAAAACTGAAAATAACCCCCCACCCCCACAAAAAAAATACTAGGGGAGATTTCAGACATCTTCCTGGGAATAATTCCTATTCCTTCCTGCAATCTCTCTTTTCAGTGAATCCTGACCATTATCACCAGATAATCATTCCTAAAATACTAAAACTGCCACTCCATTGTTCAAAAGTCTTACTTAGTTCCTTCCCCATTACCTAACAAGTGAAGGATATACTTCTTTGTTAGGTATGTAAAATTCTGTACATGCTGATATGAGATTTTTACCCTGCCAGCCTGCCTTTCCACATGGATCCTGTATTAACTGTAGTTTGCATGCAGTTCTCTTGAACATGGCCTGAATTCATCCTTCTCTGTGGCACATACAATAATGCTGCTATCCTTGCCTGTAATACAGGTCCCCTCCATCTTTCAAGGTTCCATTCTTGTGTAATTTTTTTCAGGTCATTCCAGCAAAAAAAGTGAGCATTCCCTTTATTGTATCTACTATTCAAATGCCACTAGCATAAACTACTTTCTTTTGTAATTATTTGTTTTCTGTTTTATCCTCCTTCCCCCACGAGACTAGATTAAACCCCTGGTGGGCAAGGACGATGTGTCACAGCTTCTAGCCCTCCGTGCTTACCATGATGCTGTCCATACAGTTAAGCATGTAATAATGATTTAATGTACATTTTGCACAAATACAATATCTAAAAAGTAAAAATAGAAAGTAAGAATTCAAATACACAAGCAAACTACATTCATCACTCCAAAATATATTTGAATTTTCTTATCTAGAATAATAAGAATTGTTAAAATTAACTAAAAAGCCAACTAAGCCTGAAGAAAATGTTGATGCTACTGTTACATTAATAACTGAACAAAGTTTACAAGAAAACAACATGTTCCCCCAAATTTTAAGTGTTCAGACAATAATTTTTCTGCTCTTAAGAATTAAAGAATGTTTGTTCTCAGAAGGAAAAAAATCAATTATTCAGCCCTCCCCTTTCCCATTTGTGTCTAATATCCTAAATGCAATGTTGTATACTAGATTGGATCTTGAGGCAGAGAAAAGAGCATTAGTAGAAAAATTATTGAAATCCAAATAAGATCTGTAGATTAGTTTGAGAATGGAACCATCTTAATATGATTTTATAAATGGACCATGGTTACATAACATGCTACCGTTAAGGTATATTGGTTGAGGGGTATACAGGAAGTTCTGTACTATCATTACAACTTATAATCCTAAAATTATTCCTAAAAAACAGTATTTAAAGCAAAAACAAAAGAATAAATATATCTATGCCTGGATGCCACTGTAGACGATAAATCAAAATCCTTGGGGAGGTGTCCGGGAATCTGTAATTTTGAAATCTTCCCCAGCGATTCTAATATATCATGAGGTTGAGAACCATTGTTTTACACTGGGAATGCTTGAGAGTCTGGGATCCTGTTTTGTTCTTTGCTGTAGCCTAGAACCTAGCACAATGCCTATATGAACAGCTTTTGCAATTGTGCCCTTGCTGAACTGCACCTTTGTTTGCAAATATCTCCTTTACTTTGCATCCTCTGTAATAATAAAAGTAAAACTGAAAATAACCCCCCACCCCCACAAAAAAAATACTAGGGGAGATTTCAGACATCTTCCTGGGAATAATTCCTATTCCTTCCTGCAATCTCTCTTTTCAGTGAATCCTGACCATTATCACCAGATAATCATTCCTAAAATACTAAAACTGCCACTCCATTGTTCAAAAGTCTTACTTAGTTCCTTCCCCATTACCTAACAAGTGAAGGATATACTTCTTTGTTAGGTATGTAAAATTCTGTACATGCTGATATGAGATTTTTACCCTGCCAGCCTGCCTTTCCACATGGATCCTGTATTAACTGTAGTTTGCATGCAGTTCTCTTGAACATGGCCTGAATTCATCCTTCTCTGTGGCACATACAATAATGCTGCTATCCTTGCCTGTAATACAGGTCCCCTCCATCTTTCAAGGTTCCATTCTTGTGTAATTTTTTTCAGGTCATTCCAGCAAAAAAAGTGAGCATTCCCTTTATTGTATCTACTATTCAAATGCCACTAGCATAAACTACTTTCTTTTGTAATTATTTGTTTTCTGTTTTATCCTCCTTCCCCCACGAGACTAGATTAAACCCCTGGTGGGCAAGGACGATGTGTCACAGCTTCTAGCCCTCCGTGCTTACCATGATGCTGTCCATACAGTTAAGCATGTAATAATGATTTAATGTACATTTTGCACAAATACAATATCTAAAAAGTAAAAATAGAAAGTAAGAATTCAAATACACAAGCAAACTACATTCATCACTCCAAAATATATTTGAATTTTCTTATCTAGAATAATAAGAATTGTTAAAATTAACTAAAAAGCCAACTAAGCCTGAAGAAAATGTTGATGCTACTGTTACATTAATAACTGAACAAAGTTTACAAGAAAACAACATGTTCCCCCAAATTTTAAGTGTTCAGACAATAATTTTTCTGCTCTTAAGAATTAAAGAATGTTTGTTCTCAGAAGGAAAAAAATCAATTATTCAGCCCTCCCCTTTCCCATTTGTGTCTTTTCCCATCACTATCCTCATCCCAGTATACACACACACACACACACACACACACACAAGCAGTCTATTATCTATGTGGTAGAGCCTGAAAAAACATGATATGCTCTTTATCTGGGGAAAAAAGCCCAGATAAAATATTAATGAATATAATAGAGATTTCTATAGTATTTTGAGGAAAAATCACACAATAATATATTAAGATGTGTATTTTGTTGGACAACTATGATGGCTGAACATTGTTAAAGCAAAACATAACTATAGATGTCATTTTCTGAGTGAATCTCTTGAGGAACATTTGAAATTGCTGGTATCTCTGGTCCTTCTGCTTTGGGCTTTTCTTGCATTTCTATAAAATCAAAATATGAAAATAAGTTCAATAAATGGTATTGGGACAATTGACTATAAGTTTGGAGAAAAAAGAAACTCTACCTCAAAAACAAATTTCAGATAACATTTAAATATCAAAATACCATAAATATTATAGAAACAAGATAATGTTCTTATAATCTTAGAATTATAAAGGCCTTTCTAAGCAGGACAGACCAGAAACCATAAAAGAAAAGATTGACAGGTATGAATAATTAAATATTAAAATCATGAAGATTTGAATCACTAAAAATTAAAATTAAAATGTTTTCATATAGATGACAAAAACACTATAAACAAAGCTAAACCACAAACAACTGGAAAAATATAACATGTAGGCAAATGTTTATAGCTATTATTTATAGAGTTTTTTAAATCAAAAAGATCACAAATTTAAAAAGGAACAAGTAGTGAAACAGGCAATTCTCTAAAGAAAAAATTCAAATTCACAATGACTGAAAAGATGCCTAGTAGCATTAGTCCTTAAAAAAGTGAAAATTAAAAAAAACAGGTTTTTTTTTTTTTAAACCTAGGACCATAAAAGATTTTAAAAATGTGATCATGTGCAGTGCTGGCAACAGCATGGGGAAAAGGCACTTATATAAACAACTGGTTTGTGTGGATTGCTGTATTTTTGGAGGCTATTCTTTTACAGAATATATCTAAACTTTAAATGCAGGCCCAGCATTTGAACTTCTAGGGATTTACCCAAAGGAAATAATCAGACAAACTTTAGCTTCCAGTGCCTCAATTTCTTTACCTATAAAATGGGCATAACATTATTTTTCCAGTAAGGTTTTTAACATTGAATAAAGTAATTCACACAAAAGGTTTAATACTGCATCTGCCACATGGAAAGTGCCAAATAAATGCCAGCTATATAAATGCTACTTCCAGTGATGTTCATTGAACACTGTTATAATAGCAAAACTTGGGCAGTAACCTAAGTGTTCACTATTATAGGGATTGGTTCTGTGGTACATACAACACAATACTACACAATTGTTACAAAAAATGTATTTAAGAGGCCAAGATATATATTGTATGTGAAAAAAAGCAGGTTATAGAATATTACACTACCTTATTTGTTGAAACAAACTCAACATTGGGGATCAGAGATAAGAGGTGGTATTACAGGGGAATTTTACTCTATATTTACTTACATACTGCTTTGTTTTACTATAATAAACATATAATTATGAATATTTTATAATCAGCAAAAAGGTAGATATTTTCATTTGTTTGGTAGGACAAAACCAAAATCAAAATAAGCATTAATTAACTGCTCATATTAACCTTACTGCATTACAATGAAACTCTTAGAATAGGGGCACTTTGTTGATTAGAGCAGCTTCTCCTGCTGAGGACTCCTGTCAGTGCAAGCTATGCTTCATGTGTCTGCTTTTTACTGTAATATTCTTAAGGTATTTCCTCAAAACTTGTACTACTTGGAACCCAACTGACCCCATGTTTTTGTTGCACTCATATTTTAGGAGAAAAAGCAAATAAACTATCAAAAGGATTTCTTTAGAAAACAATTCTCTGGAGATAACTATGGTCTGATCCACTCAGTCCATTTCCTATACTGTCTGTAGTATTGTACAAGGAGAACAGAGGTTCTCAATTTTGTCTCCTGAGGCAAGTCACATTAAAGAAGGGTCACATTTTTCAAAATTTTATGTTTAAGGAGAAAGTTTTTCAGAAACAAATATTGAAATAGAAAGGGATTTTAGTAAACCTGATAAATCCTACAAGACTTGAGTTCCTTGGTAACAGGATAATATTTTACATCTTTGTATTATCTCCCTTGGGACCTTGCACTGTGAATTTACTTGCCTTTAGTTTGCCAGAAAATTTTAATTTCCAAGAAAAATTTTATTCATCAGGCTTTCTTGTTAATCTAAATTTAATTTTCCTTTAAAATGTTTTGTATACAATTCGTCCTGTATTGGGTTCATTTCTCTTCACTGGCTAAAGCTTCCCCAAATGGATAGTATGTCAAGTACACACTTATATTTTCAATTACTTTCTTTTAATTCTTTGGACATGTGCCAAAGAGACATTGGTTGACTGAAAAACATTTTCTATTTGAAATTAGCCGATACTATTAATGATACCCCTTGAGATAACTGGGGTATCCTATGATTTTCAAAGAAAGCTACAAATCACCACTGTGAGGGGATATACCTATGTTAGTGCTCTAGTTGTAAATGGGGAACACCATTAAGTGGCAGTGTCACTGACTTATCACCAATAAACAATCCTTACCTTGAGGAAAAGTATAAACATCCTCAGAATCTTTCAGCTGTGCTTTAGGATCTTGGTCTTGGGGCCCACCTGTTTCTTGGTATGGTTCTGGAAAGCATTCTTTAGATACATCTTTATTTTTATAGGTCTTAGTGGAGAGGTCTTCAGGCCCAGGTGTTTCTTGGTATATTTCAGGTGAACAGTCTTCAGGCTCAGGTGGTTCTTGGCATATTTCAGGTGGATATTCTTCAGGAACAGGTGTTTCCCGGTATATTTCTGGTGGATATTCTTCAGGAACAGGTGTTTCTTGGATTGTTTGATGAAAGGGAGCTCTAGTCACAGCAATTTCTGTTGTAGATGTTTGAGAAAAGTGTTCAACTGTTTCTTGGTATGTTTTAGTAGAAAGGTCTTTAGGCACAGCTATTTCTTGTTGTATTTTAGCAAAGGTGCTTTCAGTCTCAGCTATTTCTTGCCCTGGTTCAGAACTGTATTCCTTGGGTTCAGCATTTTTTTGGTATGTTTCAAGAGTGTATCTGTTAGGCACATCTGGTTTGGGGTATGCTTCAAGACAGCATCCTTCCAGGTCAGCTATGTCTTCAGAAGTTTTAGAAGGAAGGGCTTTGGCTACAGCTCTTTCTTGGCACATTTTAGGAGAGAGGTCTTCAGGTTCAGAAGGGTGATTTTGTACTGCTGTTTCTTGATACTCAGAAGAATTTTCCTGATGTATAATGCTTTCTTGACTGATTGCAAAAATCTCAGTCATAACTTCTTGGGGAGAGGCTACTGAAGGGAGAGCTTCAGTTACACCCCTGGGTGGCTCAATCTCTTTCTCTGGAGGTGCCAGTACTTCCTCCATCATTTCCTTTTCTAATTGTGACTGAGGCTCCACCTTCAGTTCTGTATTTTGTTGTCTCTTTCTGCCTCTTTCATTTCCTTTTTCTGTTCTCTGCCGCCTGCGTTTTTTCTCTCTGTGGGGAGATCAAAATTAGCATCAGCAACAGGGCTACAGAATCAAAATAAATGGTTGGTAGTAAAGTCCCAGGATTGTATGACCTTAAAACAAGTCATTTAATCTATCTAGACTTCAATCTCCTTGTTTGTAAAGCTAAAGAGCAGAGCTAGATGCTCTCCGTTGTCAGGAGAGGAATGTCCCTCAGGGACCTTTTGTCTCTGACACCTTACTCAACAGGAACCTTTCTGGTGAGTGTGGAGTGTATATATATGTTGAAGAGCATATTCTTAAAGTGTAGTTATAGAAAATGTATAATTGATGTTACAAATGAATAGATTGGCATTCTGATTTATACACTAGTCTCCCTGGTTTTAGTCTGTGTGGGCTCTAGGTAAACTAATACAACTGCATTTCTACATCCAAAATTCAGGCACAGCTCCTTGTCTCTGCAACCTGCAGGTTGATGATGTATATAGCTTGCTTATCTAATGCAGTGTCTTGTGTAAAGAATGCTAAGTAGCTGCAATACTTGTCAAATGAGATACTGTAAGCTGGGTTCGAAGGTACAAAAATGGTTCTTGAGGTAAAAAAGCCTGGTGGAAAGGCATTAGTGGCCATTTTGTATCTACCCCAAATTAATAGCTAGATTAAAGATCTAGAAGATGAAAGGATAGGCATGGAAATTTTAGCCAATGATCAACTGTTAGGTACTGCAACTAGAACCAAATACAGATGGCTAATACAGATGAGCTCAGGGGAAGAAAAGGTGCTATAAATAAGCCTTGCATCATTTTTCTAAACTTAATGAAATTCTGTTCCATGCTACCTGCTCCACGGAGCCTTCTCTTACAGGCTACAGGGCCAGAATGCTCTTCCTGCTTAGCACTCCTGTGGGATTTATTATGGGGACCATGCTTTAGGCAAGGAACATCAGCTGCCTCATACTATAGTTATTTCTGGAGAAACTTTTTTCTTTTAGTAAGTAGATGTTCTTTAGAGATAAAACCAGTGTCTTGATATCTGCAGTGCTTATAGTTCTCTACACACTTAACAAATGTGTACCCTCTTCTACTTTTGTTATGCTTGAAAATTTCCATAATGAAAATCTGTAAAATAATTGCTTCACCAAAAGCAGTTTGAAGTCAATGTAAAAAGGGTATATATGTAATAGGACAGTAAAAAATAACTATTAAACATAACATAGAAGAAAAGGTCATCTAAAAATGATGGTATAACACCTCAGCATTTTGAAGTATAATTCCAAGTAACCAAGATAACAAGATAAATTATAAAGCCTTTATTGTCAGATTTTAAAAGATCCTATATATGAATTCTTCAGAAATACTTATTTTGTCCTAGCTATTACATCTTAAAAATTTTATTATATAGATCTATATGAGGAAATCTGAGTAATGTTCCATGTTGTTCCTTGTAGTTTTTCTAAAAAAAAATACCAATATATCTATGTGGCCTAAAATTTAATCTGTACTCTATCACTTATCAGCTGTGTGATCACAGGCAAGTCACTTAAACTGGCTATGCCTTGGTTTCTTCTTAGGTAAAAAGGGAGCAAATAGTATTGGCCCATTTTCATGGTTCTTGTTAAGAATTGCATATAGTGACTTAAATGAACTATCCAAATACAAATTATTGCCCTTATATTAATACAGGAAACACAGTGCTTCCTATGTGCCAGGCACTTTTAAGTAACTTACTTATTCTGTTATTGCATATCATCTTCATATCAACTTATGAAGTAGATACTATTATTGTCTCCATTTTGCAAATGACAAAACTAAGCACACAGAGGTTGATTTAACCTGTCCAAACTCAAATGGCTAGAAGTGTGGGAGGCTTCAAATCTAGTCATTCTGCCTTTAAAGCCAGGCTCATAACCATTGTACTCTGTTGCTTCTCTCTGTAACTACTCAAGTTTCTCTGTGAGGTAGGCTATAGTGAGAAGAGCCCTCAGTAGTATGGAGATGTGTCCCAAGAGTATGGCCAGCCAGCTGCCAAGAGGCTCACCAAGGTGTCATCTACTGCAATGACTTCTACACCTTTGGCCCCCCCAGCCCAGCAAGCACAGAAACTCAATTCGGTCAGTACACTGAGACCAGCTCTATTTATTGGGGCAGAGCTCATCAATCAGCTCAAAGATACTGATATGTAAACCTAAAGACCAATTTTTAAGTGAACAGTGAGAAATGCAAAATCACACAGCAAAGAATGTGTGAGCTGACAAACAAATGCACTCTTTCTCTGTAGCAAGTACTTGGAAAGCCAAGTAATGATCAGAAGGTTACATGGCAAGTATGGATATTGTTCAACAAAGTCACCTGCCACAGGACGTGAGTACAGAAGTTTCACCTATATCATAATGTATGTATTCCTGAAAAACCTCAGTTTCTGCAAAATCATACACTAAAAGAGAGCTTGTGGGGGAAAAATAGAGTTGGGCAAATGACTCAAATCTTATGCAACTTTTTAATGCTAACAAAAAATACTTGGTTGTGGGGGACATAACTCAGGCCAGACAGGCAGCTTTCTATGGCTGAAGGCTGCTTCCAGGGTAGTAAAAATGCACAAAAACCACAGTGTAAATGCAGGCTTTCAGCTACTGAGATCATGCAAATAAGGATGGCACCCTAAGCCAGCAGGGCTGCAACTAAATTAGGCACAGGAGGAAGTGCAACCTGCTACCTGTGGAGAGCTGAGCAAAGCTAGTGGTGTCCTTCTCTGGGGAGGGAGTCTTGGATGCAGGCTGAAAAGGATCTTGCCTATGCAGCAGCCAAGCTGAAGGTTTTTCCCTTTCCTGCTGAAGGTTTTAATTCTATTCCTACTTCTGGCTCCTTTTGACTAGGAAAAATCATGAATCAAAACAATTTCCACATTTTACTGCCATCATTGTCCTATCTACCAATCATATGAAGCTGCTTGGTGTTGTAGAAACATGTTTTGTAGCAGAACAGACTATATACTCAGTCCTCAGGGAGACAGGTGCCCTTTCTTAAGAAGAGTGCTTAAAACACCTGCATTGCTATTTTTATTTTAATGCTGCCTAGAAAAATGTATACCTATGTCATCTTCATCATTGAAGGAATCATTTTTGCAATAATGAAGGAATATAAATCAAACTCCTAATAAATTTGTTTAAAAAGAGTGCTTAGATCAGAGGTTATCAATTGGGGACAATTTTGCCCCCTCTACCCCTGCCTGAGGAGACATTTGACAATATCTAGAGACATTTTTTATTTTAAAGTTGGGGGTAGGGGCTATTAGTTTCTAGAGGCCAGAGATACTACTAAACACCTGCAATGCACAAAACAGCCTCCTTCCTGTGGGATTCTCCTGCCCCCAGGTCAATAGTGCCAAGGCTGAGAAATCCTGGCTTAGATGGGGGCTGCTCTCTTGGCTCCTTGGACTCCTTTTTTCTGTCTCCAAGCAAGCAACCTGTTTTTATAGTCATATTCTAAACGGATGCAGTTAGATGCTGCCTAATTTATAGTCATGTCTTGTATGCCCTCCCTGAAATCACATAAAGAAGACTCTGATTGGAGCTTTAGGAACTCCCAAACTCTTCCATCACTCATTTTACAGTATTTTAGTTTCCTCCATCAGGGAGTTAAGCACACTCATTTGATAAGGATTTTATTGATAGAAAGTCTAGAGAACAGGCTTGGAAGTCTCCTCAATGATGTCTCCTGCTCCCAACAAGATGCTTGTATGTTTATATTACAAGAATAATTGAATACCAGGCCTCTCAATAATATAATTAATTGCCTGCTGCTTTAATTAAAAGAAGTCAAGGATAAAATTCTGTTCCCACCACTCTCCTAGCTGTGTGACTTTAGGCAAAAGATTTAACCCTTCAGAGACTTGCTTTCCCTTTTTTTGAAATATAAGGATAACAGCCCCTGATTTACTGGATTGTTGGAAAGATAAAGCATAGTGTGTGAACGTGCTTAGCACTACTTGACATGTAGCATATGCTCAATAAATATTAGTTCCTTTTCCCTTGCAGTGATACCATACCCAAACTGCCATTGCGAAGTTTGCCTTTCTTGTGCTTCAGCCTTTCTTTTTCTGAGTTGCTCTCTGTTTCGCAAACTCCAAGTTCCAATGACTTCTGTAGGATCAAAATGAAAGTTACAGGAGACAGTGATGAATTGTGGCATTTATCAGTAAGAGTCTGAGAGCAAAATGGTAGAATCCCTACAATAGGTGTGTAAGTCTTTCTCCAAGCTTCTTTAGGACAAGAACAACACATTTATTCTTGTACCTCCAAAGAATGTCTAGAAGATACTCAGTAAGCATATTAAAATGTATTTTGTATATAAGTATTTGTACTTGTACAAATACATACTCAGTATTTGTACCTAAGTATGCTACCAACCAATTAATTTCTTCACACTTTTTATATATTGCACAAATATAAAAGAAAAAAAATCAAACCATGTTCTGCTATCTTTACTATAACCTGTTTTTTATTTTATTCCTTGTACCACCCAAATCCCCATGTTAAACAGTTATGATGCATACCACAATTTTATCATTAACTGAACATTTAATCAGAAATATTTTCCATGATATAGTCCTCATAATTATAGCTTTAATGACTACATGATACTTAATCAAGTTGATGCATTCTCTTTACCCATTCTACTCATAGTGAACATTTAGGTTGTTGCCAGTTATTTTTTGCCATTGTAGATCAAACAACAATAAGCATATTCATGCATACAGCTTTTCTTTCCTTTGAATTTTTTCTTTAGGATGGTGTTTTTCCAAGTTCTTTGGAATATTAAAGGAATTATCAAAAAAAAGGTTATATACCATCCAAGTTTGTGAAAAGTTAATGGATCTTTCATACAGAACTTCTTAGAACCTGTGAAGTGATTGTGAATTTGCAATCACTGGGACCCCCCAAAAATAGAGCATGCCCTTAGGACATGGCACCTTTCTCTTAGAACAGAGGTTCTTAATGGTGAACTTGAATGGGGAAAATTATACCTTTATTTTCTCATATCATTCCATTATGAACATAGGTAACAAACCACAGTAGTTGTAGCAGTATGTGACTTCATCACCAAAAGAAATGAGATTTTTTCATATCACATTGCAATTGTTGCAGATACCTTAAAATACCATTTATTTGAAATACATTTGATTTGATACAATGGTTATTAGACTCACTATTAATATAATTTTGCTATTTAATGCATCTATAAATAGGCACGTTACTGTATCACAATTTTTTATTCTGATAACTGTATCTTAATACAATTATTTCCTTTGTAATCCTATCTATTTTTATGTATTTTAGAAATTTATTACAAGAAGGGTCTATAGGTTTATCAGAATGCCAAAGGGAACCTTGGCACAATAAACTTTAAAGACACTGTCTTTCAAGGCCTAGGGTTCTGCAAAACATTTTGAGAAATGCTTCTTTAGGATAGATCTAACCAGCTCCATGTCCTAAAACAAGATTAAGATTGATGAGTCAAAAGAATAAGGACTAGTATAGATTTGACAATAGGTAGACCTTTCTAAAATTAATAGTAAATTTATGGTACCATGGAAGTATATGGGTGTATTTGCTGTGTATACAAACATCCAGTATTCAGTATTTTCATTGCCTTTCATTTAAATGTATTATTACTTATTATTTCCTTGTGTTTGTCTGACTTATTAGGATCTTAATGCACTAGAAGGCACCTCAAGAAGTTATACAGCCCCTTCTTCCCATCCAAATATATATGAATGAACTTAATTATGTCTATTTTCTTTTGCCAGGTCCATAAAAAAGGAAAATAATCATAGCCCAGTTCGTCCCAACAACCACTAAGACTTCTTAGTGGCCACTAGAGACATCTTAAGAGCTCTTTCATTACCTGGAACATGGTTCTTTTCCTGAAGACGATCAGGTTTCTGATGGTGTGTCAAACGACAGTGGTCCTTTCCTAAATCCATCTTCCTGCAGAATCTTCCTGCTATTTGGTCTGACTTTCACAAGCAGCCTTTTTAAAAATATCAAAAGCAACTAACAGTTTAAAACACATGTACATACACAAGTTCACTTGTCACTTAACTTCCCGCCTAAAAATTTTATCTGGTTGAACCATGGCTGCTGGCCACTTCTACTGTCTTTATCACACTGCGCAGGTGTGAGCAGAGGGTGTGGCTGGTGCTACTATGTCCTCATCCTCTAGCGTCGTTGCTAGGTATACAAGGAGCCCCGCCGCCGTGGCTCAGCATGGCACAGCTCCAGTACAGCAGTCATTCGGTCCTATCCATCCAAAGGTGCCTGAGTCTGCTGTTCCTTTTTACGTTCGGAGGTGGCTGAGTGTAGAAAACATTAGGTCTAGGATCTAACCTGCTCCATGTCCTAAAACAAGTAACCTTCCCTTTCTGTGACTCTTTCCTCATTTGCAAAGTGGATAAATAATTCCTGACTTGCCCACCTCACAACAGTTCTTGTGAAAGTGAAACAAAATGAATGTAAAAGTTCTGAAGATGTGAAATTAATCTTGTATTGTTTTCCTGCAGGGGGCATTTTTCACCCTAATTTGTTACAAAATAATGTAAAATCTTGCTGTATATGCTGTTAGATTTAAATAGACACAAAGAACAAACACACACGAGGAATTCAAAAAACTTCAAACCCTTTTCTGCCTACTGCATCATTCACAAGTATCTCAAGGTAACTAATGAAATCCACTGTTACATATCTAGGGAAGGTCAAAAACCATTCCTTAATAAAAATGTGACCACCTCATGCCACAGAAATTAAGGTGAAACCAAAGGAATCACCCCATTTCCAATCAGTGGCCTCATTTGTGAAGGCAAGGAGACTCAGAGGACCATGGTTGTTCAGCTAAGGAAGGAACACTGAACATTTCCTAATACCAGTCTGAGATATGCAGGGTTAACTGTGTTCTGGAGTCACAGACTGAAGTGAAGAGTTTGAATTCCAGTGTTGCTACATTCTCTAATTCAGTGACCTTAGGCAAGTTAGAAACCCCAGGGGCCAATTTACTCATCTCCAATATGGGGACAGCATGGACATCTACCTCATGGGGTTACTGGAATGATTAAACCAAGTGATCCACGGAAGACAGTTTATATGTGCCTGATAAATGGAACTTGCTTAATAAGTCTTGGATGCTTTTATTAAGAATAAAAAAAAAAACAGCAACCAGATTTTGGTAAACCAAGCCTTAGTTTTAAATGCACTAAAGAAACTTAGAGAAAATATGAAAGGAATCTTTTATAAAGAGAAAACCTTTAGAATATAGTCAGTGATTCTGTAACATCTTCCTATGTTGACAGATAGTAACAGCACTAGTGGGAGTGAGGATTTGATAATATGGGTCACTGTTGAACCACTGTGTAGTATACTTGAAACCAATATAAGATTGTATATCAATGATACTTCAATTAAAAAAGAGAAAAGCTTTAAAATGTGAACAGGTACCCCCTACTTTCCTAGCCTTTCTTAAGGCATTAGAAGTAGAAAGGCTCCCAAAACCATCTAGTCCCTTCCCTCTATTTCAATGTATAGAGAAACTGAAAGCCAAGAAGAGGATTTACCTGCCCCAAATTTTCTTACTTATTGCTGGCAGCATAAATATTTTTATGCCTGATCTTATCTGGGTATGAAAATGTATGTGTAGTATAAACATATGAGAGAAGCAAGTCTTTTAAAACATGCTGAAAAGTACTGAGAATTACATCACAAACAGCCAAGTACCCACCACCAAAACTTAATGTGGTTTTTAATTAGATTCTCATGCTCTAGCCTTAAGTTTCTCAGTCGTTCTTGTAAGAAAATTTCTATCTAAAAATTCAGATAACCTCAGAAAGTCCCTATTCAAGGGAGTCCTGTAGGAATGGAAGGCATAATTTATAATTTATCTCTTGATAAGTATTGGATTTTCAGATATAGTGTTTCACAAAATCAATACAAATTAAACTTTGAAAAATTATTAAAAAGTACTGTTTTATCATTTAAACAGGCATTTTAATATTTGTCCCTTTGAGATGTTTTATTTCTTGCTGGTGAGGTTGTTTAAGATAACTCAATAAAACAACCTTACAGACTACCTCTGGGGCACCTTACAGAAGACGGAGTACTTCTTAAATAGAATTATCCTTACTCAGAACTTGTAACACTCAGTTCCACAATTTAGCAAACCTTACTGAATACCCACTCTGTACTTGAGACAGTCAGGCTACAAAGATGGACAGAGGTAGGTCCTGAGTTCTGTGAACTGTAGGCTCATTAAGAGAGATATACTCATCTTTGTAAGAAATATTTGAAATAATATTTATTGAAATGTATGAAATAATATTTAGATTCTTAATGCCCTGTTGCAACCTTCCTATGTTAATTCCACCCTTAGCTCATGTACTCTGTATCTAGGAGCAGAACGTGGAGGGACTATGAGAGGGTGGGGTCTCAAGTTAACAGTAATCAGGGGCAATATTGGGTGGAGGGGGCCAGAGGAGTCTTGGAGCAAAGCAGATTGGAAGTTAGGCAAGGTGTCCCTGGTGTGATAAGGCAGGCCAGAGCAAGAGCTCATATGGGACAGAAGTAGTCACACAGTAAGTCTACAAGCCATAGTTCACTGTCCCTTCTCTCTGTAAAAAACTCTGGAGTCATTACCTAAAGGTGAGATGTTAGGCATTAAAAGTTGGATACTTTTAACAAATGCTGCTTTGTTCTAGAGTTATTTGCATATACACATGAAACCACCCTACAAGCTACAATGCTTAGAGAGGGTAGTTACTACTCCTGGTTCACGTTTCTATCTCCACCGTATAATGTAGCAGGAGGCTCGGCCCACAGCAGTCCCCATAAATGCCCTCAACTCCTGTATGCAGAGCTGGCTTTGTGGGTATGCAGCCTATGAAGTACTTCATACACTCAGAGGGGCTGATGAGTCTGTGACTTAATAATACCAATATCATCATCTGTTCCAGAACTCTTTCTACTGTCCTTCACCAGCTCTGTCCTATGTGCCAGACACACAGCAATTAAAAGACAAAAGTCCTTGCCGTAACAGAGCCTACAGTCTAATTGGGGAGAGATAAACAATAAGCAAATAAAATATGTAATGCATCAGATGGTAATGAGAGCTCTGGGGAAAACTGAGCGGGGATGATAGGATGGGGAAGGAGGGAAGAAGTTGGTAGAGGATGCTATTTTAAATAGGGTGGTCAGGGAAGGTTTGACTGGATAGGGTGACTACTTAGCAGAACTGGATGAGGTGAGTGGCCAGCCAGGCCGATATTGGGGCTGGGACGCAGGGTGAGATTTCAAGCAGAGTGGCATTGGCAAATGGCCTGACGTGAGGGAATAGTAGGAAGTGGGCTCAGAGAGGTAGCTTGTTGTCCCTTGTAGGGTATTCTACTCCGGTTGAGGTGAATCGTCACAGGATGGTTTTGAATAGAGGAGTGATATAATGTGACATATTTTCAAAGGAATTTTCTCACTGCTGTGTGGAGAACAGATCATCGGCAACAGGGGAGGAGGTGGAAGCGTGGAGACCAGTTAGAAGGATCTTGCAATATTCCATGTGAGAGATGATTAAGACTTTGACTGTGATGTAATAGTGAAGAAGTGGTTAGATTCTGGAATAGCTTGCCAAGTAGATATGGAATGAGAGATTTAAAAAAGAGTCAAAAGAGTAGGATAAATGCTTGATTGCGGCAGCTGGAAGGATGGAGTTACCATTAATAGATGAGGAAGACTGGGAGGAGCAGGCTTGCAGGAGATGACTAGGAGTTTAGTTTTGGAGATGCTAGTAGATTAGAGGGAAAACAGAAAAGGAGCAGCCAGTGAGGCAGAGGGAAACCAGAAAAGTATAGTGTCCTGGAAGCCAAGTGGAAAAAATGTTCCAAAAAGGAGGGAGTGATCAACTGTGTCAAATTTTGCTAATAGAAGAAGGGTTGAGAATTGTCTATTCCCTAACAATTCAATTGAATTAACTATCGACTGTGGAACCTAAAGAGGTTGTACATGGCCAAGGGCACACAGGTGGGACCAGCTACATAACTTGCAGGGTCCAGTGCAAAATGAAAATACAGAGCTCTACCTTCAAAAATTAAGAATTTCAAGTTGGCTACATCAGAAAATTAAACCCAGCACAGGGCCCTACTTTCACAAATGTTTCACTAGATCCTTGTGGCAGGCTTATAAAATAACTATTCTTGTCATCGTTTTTCAGATCAAGACAATGGTGCTGAGTAGTGGGTGATTTAACTAAGATCACAGAGCTAGATTGATAGTTTGAGCCTAGAATGTGGGCCTTCAGCCTCCAAATCTGGCCTTCCACGTATCCTACTAGACCAAACTAGATATGAGGAAGAGAATTGCTTTCCTGCCTCCTGACCTACCTGGAGCAAGTTTAAGTATTGAGGCCTTGTTCCTGCATTTATGTGGCCCGATTGAACAGGGCAGATGGGGAAGGGAAGGAAACCTATTACAAAGAACTTCTGCCCCAGGGTGAAGAGGAAGTACTGGATACCATTTGGCCAAAACATAATCTGATAAAAGTACCCCAAAGCTAATGCAGTTTTAGGCTATATTGCTATAATTACAGAGCCCCCAAACCAGGGAGGTCAGAATACTACACTTTGGTTTGTCATACCCACTAGGAGTGTTTACGCTGTGAGGACCTTGAGAATGATACTTGAAACGTGTCCTAAAAGAGAAAAGGGCACGAGCCTCTACCGTTTCCTGGCTCTGTAATTTGGGAAAGAATTGCTGAATTCTCTCTGATCCTCAGTTTCTTCCCTTGTGAAATGGAGAAAGATTAATCCTTCACAGGGATTCTGTGAGGACAGAAGAGATCAGGAGAGCTTTTTACAAAATGAAAAGCACTTTGCAGATAGATATGCCATAAACTTGGGTGGTGTTAATAGTATTATTAGAGCATTCTAATGATGCACCTGGGCATTTTCCCAGAGTGCATTTGGGTGGAGAAGTCAAGAAAAGGAAGACATTGTATGTCTA